CAATTTCATGTGATAAACACGATATATAATTCGCATTATTAACTGCGCTAGCTCCCACAGCTCTTCTTTCACAATTTTATTTAAAGTAAGTTAATTTATTTTATTGTAAATTTTGAAGATTAGAAGTCAAATTGATTTCAATAATCCTATTTTTTAATATCTTATTTTCTGATTATTTAAAATTGTCATATTACTATTTATAACGAAATAAGCGAAATACGCTTACATATATTAATTAATTGTGGCCTATAAAGGATAGCGATTCGTAGTCACGCGTTGATTTTGTCGTCTTACTAAGAATTCCCGAGCCACAGCGGGAAATGAGCTTCCCTCGCACATAAGGTGATAAAGAAAGGAGTAACACGACAAAGAATATGTCTCAACCATTTACACGCTGATCGCGTTTAATTCCGTGTAGCACATGGACGGTGTAAGGAGTTTACAATGTGTAGATATATGTGTTTCGAAAATAATGATAAATTTTTCGCATAGGGACAGAATGAACTAAACTGAAAAGAAAAGTCATCTACCATTTTGCAATTTTCGCAATCGTTAACGAGATATTAATTGCTAAAAATTGCTGAAAATTGGTCTTCAATAATTTTTTTAACTTTACAGAAAAATTGCAAAAGACGAAAATTGTTTATTTATTTTTTTCTCATAGAACTCTACAAATTTCAGAATTTTTTTATCAACTTTTTAATACTGCATTTTCCGATTTTTACAACATGAGAAAATACCAACATTAAAAAATTCGGAAAAAATTATAAAAAAATTCTTACAGCTTTATGAAAAAAAAATAATAATTTTTATCTCTTGTAGTTTTTCTGTAAAGTTGATAGTATTTGAATAAAAAATTATTGAAGATCAATTTTTGGCAATTTTTAGCAATTAATATCTTATTAACTATTATGAAAATTGTAAAATGATAGAGGACTTTTCTTCTCAGTTTAGTCCATTCTGCCCCTATGCGAAAGATTTATCATTATTTTCCAAACACCCTGTATATAATCCGATGAACACGAGATAGATCTTCTTATTTCTCGAATTAGATTGAAGAAAAATTGAAATTTATCATATGGATTATTAAAAACAAGAATTGTTTGATAGCGTTTTCCATCATAATTTTTATCGTTCCTATCTCAATGCCATTAAATTCCAATTTATTTCAACACATGACTCATTGCCATTCTTGCCAAAAAAATACAAGGAAACAAAATATTACGAATGTACATATAATCATGAAACGTGCAATTATAAAATGAAATAAAGAATGACTGGCTCTTAAAAAGATAGATCTAAGCAAAGATATATACAATTATGATATAGATTTTACAGCCATTATCAACTCATATTGGCCGTATATTTTAGATTTGTCTAGATTTATGCGATTATTTTGTCTTTAATCTATTTTTATAATATTTTATATAATTGAGATATGAATATTACTATATTAAAATAGGTTATCTTGCTAATCAAGTAATTGTTTTAAAAGAAGAGATTGTTTACAATATCTAATAGTATCTTCATCTCGTATGTATAAAGTAATAAGTTCGAATAATAAGAAGAGCTCACTTATCATCATCGGATTCAGATATGGCCTGTTTTGCGATTAGAAAAATATTATATAATGAAGTTTAATAAAAGAAATGAATATATTGTAGGTAGGGAGGACAAAACACGTATATACTGTAGAATATTAATTCAAAACGATCTTAACACAGTGCGATTTCGTGCCAGTTGTGTTTGTAGAGACACGACAACATCCGTCAACATCACCCTACTCTCTGTCAGTACATCGGAAGATATTCTGAATATACGAGACAGCAAGCAATAAATCAATATCTCAAATATATATATACTGTTAGGTCGCTTTTGTACAAGAAATTTATTCGCGAGTATAAGGAAGAAAAAAAAAGAAATTGCGACGCGAAAAATACAAGTGGCACAAAATTGTACGAAGCCTGTTGCAGACTCAGGAACAAAATAAGAGGAATATTATATTTCCTGACACTACATCGAGCCTGTAACAATGGGGCCATATTTTCACAAAGAACGAAAGTGCGTGTTCTCTCATATTTAATGAAAATAAAAGTAAATGAAAAATGAAATTCTAAATATCTGCATCGATTATATGGTGCAGAGTACGGGTTGGGCCTAAAAGATAAAAAAAGAGGAAGTTTAGAGGACTCAACTTTTATTGCTCATAATATATATGTTTGTAATAAGAGTAACTTTCGTAATTGCATTTGTTCCAGTATCATCCCGCACCGGCGGGACATGGCGGACATTTATTAAACGGATTTGATTGAATATACAGGATGTCTCCTGATAACTACATATTTCTTCTTAAGAACATATCCTTGAGATAATTTTGAGGCAAAAATCCTAATACAAAAATGTCAAGGCTACAATAGTTTTTGAATCATAATTGATTAAAGATAATGTGTAATTCAAAAACTATTATAGCCTCGATATTTTCTTAGAATGTTCAAAAGAATCCAGAAATAATAATAGAGGCTATAAAAGTAAAATGATTTTGGACTCATAAGTATTTATAAGTATTTAAAGTTAACTTATAATTCAAAAAATTATTAGTCTCAACATTTTTGTACTAGAATTTTCGTTTCAAAATTACCTCAAGAATATCTTAAGAGGAAATGTGGTAATTGTGAGACACCCTGTATAATATACGATAACGAGAATTGTTTGATAATGTTTCCCACCAATAATTTCTGTCGTCTTCCTACTCCAATACCCCAATTAAATTCCAATTCATTTTGTTACACGGTAGCTTGCTGCCATTCTTGCCAAAAAGAGAAAAGGAAACAATAAATATTATGAACGCGATAATTTATTAGCGAGACACATGTAATCATGAATTATAAGGTAGTAAATCGCCATATTTGATACTTTGTACGTTTCGATATAATTTAGTACGAAAAAAGACTCTTTAGAGCGTACCAGCGCGCGATTATATGTACAAAAAGAAAATTTTAATTATAGATAGATAATTTACCTGATGGATGTGAATTGTAAGTTTTATTAATCCTACAATGTATCATTTTGGAATCGAAATATAATAATTTTGTCGATAAATAACATATACGTATAATTTAATTAACATTTCTAAATTAAATTAAATTAATTAAGTTAATAATTTTAATTATATTTAGTTAGTGGCTCCAAAAACAAAAGTAAAATATCCATATGATCCTCCGCGTTTGTTAATTCATATATTTATAAAGCAATAAGATAATTTGCAAACAATTGGAATGTGTGCAATTAATTTCGTTTGATAAATACACGTTTCAATTGTTTGCGAATTATATCTTATCGCCTTATGACGTACAATTTACACATTACTTACCGCGAAGGCTCATATTTATTTAAATTACCCATCAGTTTCGAAGTATACGAAAAAGTTTCTGCGCCTTTCAGAATAAAATGATTATAGCTATACTGCGTAAAATTGCATAATTTTATTCAGACAGAGATGAATATAATCAACAAGTATCATCACTTATTGATTTATTTTTGCGATCGTATAAATGATGCGAAACATTAAATACAATCGTTTTGTTATTATAACAATAAAATGAATTTCAAGTATTTTATTGAATTTTTTTCCTTTTTTTATTCAACAGACAGTGCTTGAGTCATGAGCATGCATATAATAAAGATGACAATTACATTTTATTAAAATAAATGGAGTAACAGTTAAACAGTCAAATTACATCTCTTCTGGTGATATATATCCATAATATAATATAAATAATCCTTACACACACGATATAAAATATTATATCAAGATATTTTGTAAGTGTGTCTATAAGATTAAACTTATTTAATAAATTGTCGTTATCTTCATTTAGATAATACATTTTCATAACATTATCAACAATTTAAATACGACATGACAATATCTTTACATCATCCAGAACTGAAGGACACTGCATACGAATTTATAAAATACAATGTATATAATTTAAAAGATATATGAGCTCCTTCCTAGAATATAAAAAAAGTAGTACTAAATAATGTTCCACTTAAATCTAAGTCTTGTCGATTTTAAGAGCGAGACTGTATACTAAATACATCTCTAGCGTTACCCCTGAAATTACTGCGATAACAATTTCGTTGCTCAAAAATGCACAGTAACACAATAACACAATCTATTTGTATTATACATTACATATTTACTGATATAAGCAAGAATGGTACCCGTATCAAAGCCACTGTAATCGAATTATGATGTGACCCAAAATTAATTTGTTACTGTGAATTAGTGACGATGTCTATGTCGTCAATCGACGCCAATGCAAACTGCACGATAACGTAACTTTGTATTAATTTTATATATATATATATATATATATATATATATATATAGCGTTACATATCGTATATGTACAGCTTTGCAAACGCAAATTTACTATTCCAAGGATTTAAGTACAACTGCAAAAAAACGTATTCAATTTGAATAAGAGTGCCATTCAACGAACCGATATCGTATTTTACATCTACAACATGATGATTAGTGTAATACTTATATGCTTTGAGTTGTATAAATGATTAACAGAGCGATTAACAATAATACTCCTAAATGCCTGCCGAGAAAACGCCTCCGACTCGATTGTAACGTTACTGGATCATCCAAATAACCGTTGTCGAGACACATCCTATTAAATTATAAACATATAAACGATGAATTTTCTACGTAAGCGGATGTATATCTACGAAATTATAGAATAAACTTAATTTTTGTATAAAAATTGCAATACAATCTCTTTTTTCATTCTTTTAATCCTTTTTTCATTGCCTCAGTACACACAGTGTATTTTAATTGCTTTATTTGTTCCACCGCTAATTATGTACAAATATAGCTGAGTATTTGTTAAACATAATATATGCCACTAATATGATAATTCAATCTTAAAAAAAAATTCAAATGTTTTGAACATCGAATACATGCGAATTTTTTTTTGAACATCAGATAACAAAATCTTTTTTTTCATTGTACAAATAAATTCATTTAAAAAAATCTCATATCTTCTATCGTTGATATAAATTCTGTAAAAGTTCCTTTTACGGAACTTTTCCTTAAAGTCCTTTTCAGAACTATTTTAGTATAACTTTATACTAATTCTCCATTAATTCGTCATCTATTTGCGTTTCAAATAGTTCCATTTCTTTAGGATCTTTCATCGACATTTCTGTGCTTTTAGCTTCACGAATCCTTCTAATTTTCTTTTTAATTGCCATTGCACCTGTTCATATAATAATACATTATCTAAATTACAGTTTAATTCATACATACAAACTTCAAATAAAAAGTAAGTATACAGAACTTACAAACTAATGTTTGCCACAATTCGACTTTCTTTGCTGTTCTGATATTACTTTTCCTCAAAGATTCTTTATGCCTTTTATGAATGCCAGCTAATTCAATGGCTTCCTGCGTCGGTGGTGGAAAAAGACAAATTTCGAGCCAATGTGTAGCTTTCGCATGTCCAATCAGTCTTATCCATACCTAATATATATTTTCATTAATAACATTTATATATATATATATAAATTATAACATTTTTATATATATATATATATATATATATATATATACATACATATACGTATAATGTAAAAAAAATAACAGTTTGTAATAGTTATTTAAATAACATATATACAGATACAGAACTACGATCCAAGCAAGGTTGTCATGCTAAGTTATTGCAAAAATAAATAGTTTATTATAACAAATGTTTCGACCCTTATTGGGTCATTACCAATGTTAATCTTAATAACAATATAAAAATCACATACACATTTGAAAAATAATCTTAAACAAGACATTCAACACGACTTAAAAAAAATATAAAAGTTTCATCAATTTTGTAAGTACTAGTACTAGAACCTATCGTTTTAGATAGTTATGAGAATTATTCAATATCAAAATGTGAAAACGCAGCAATAGTCTTATTCGGTGTATGAATATGACAATGTGGATAAATAACAAACGCTTGGTGATCGTCAACAGTTCTTGTAACATGATTCTTATAAAGCGTAGTTTCAAAAGCTTGGAGTTAATCAATGATAAACCAATGCAATAAATCAGTGTTTAGTCTAAAATCACAATTACAAACGACTTTATGAATAATAATTTAACAAACATAAAAATAAATGTATATCATGAAATACAGAAATTTATAAAATTATAACACATATATTAACAATTATGAAGAACTAGTTATAGAAACTAGTTATAGAAATGACGTATAAATTTGTGAGTCTAATAATATAATGATTATAAGATTACAAATTAAAAAAAAACAAGTTCTCCTTCGGTTATTTCAGACCATGAAATTTAATTATAATTTTGATTGGGAGGAAGTGAAAATATTAGATACTAAACCATCTTACAATAAAAGATTAATATCAAAAATGGTGCATATAAAAAGACAAGCAAAGGTTTGAATAAGCAGACTGATACATCCTTACCCGACATGTATCTACCTATACTCCAGTCGCTTTCCCCTTTCTAATATCTCTTTAGATACCTCCTCTTTTCATTCTTTCCCTACCACAGTTCCACTCACTTGTCTTAACTGTCATACAGTATATCTTTGAGTGGTCTTTTAAAGAAATCTGAATTCTGGTCAAGACATTTCAATTTGCCATTTATCTAATGTTGTTCTCAAATAGGTTACTACTAATTATCAGGTAATTTTTATTTTATATTTTGACTGTTCGATATGTAATTTTAATCGTTTTTCTAATTTTATTTCTAATATTCTAATTTTAAAGTTTATAACAACTTTTTACTTTGCGATATATTTTTATATATATAATTTGTTTTTTTTTATTTGTAATCTTATAATCATTATATTAATAGACTCATAAATTTATATGTCATTTCTATAACTAGTTCTTCATAATTTTGAATATATTATAACTTTATAAATTTCTGTATTTCGTGATATATATTTTCATGTTTGTCATTTGTTAAATTATGCATAAAGTTTATAATTGTGATTTTAGACTAAACACTGATTTATTGCATTGTTTATCATTGATTGTAACTTCAAGCTTTTGAGACTACACTTTATAAGAGTCATGTTAAAAGAATTGTTGACGATCATTAAGCATTTGTTATTTATCCACATTGTCATGTTCATACAGCGAGTAAAGCTGCTTTTCACGTTTTGCTATTAAGCAATTCTCACAATCAAACGATAGGGATACTTATATAACTGATGAAACTTTTATATTCTTTTTAAGTTGTGTTGAATGTCTTGTTTAAGATTATTTTTCAAATGAGTATGTAATTTTTATATTGTTATTAAGATTAACATTGATAATGACCCAATAGGAGTTGAAATGATAAATTTTTTGTTTTTTCAATAACTTAACATGAAGACCTTGCTTGACTCGTAGCTCTATTTTTATTATATTAATTTTATAAATTATTTGAGCCTTAGTTCCTATTTTTATATGCAGGACATTTGTTCTTACCGAATCTGAACATTCTACTACAAACCAAAACCACAAGCCAGGTTCTGTCCTTGTATATTTAACTTCTTCTGACCAAAGCATAAATGTAGGCACATAATATAAATATAAATATATCCTGAGGAATCAACATATAATCTTTGTTATATAATAATTCGATAATAAATTAAAAATATAATATTTACTAACCAAGTCAGGCAGTGTAACAGGAATAATAGTTTAGAAATTGGTCTCCCAACAGTTTGAGAAATGCACACCAAGATTCGACAGACACTAACTATCACAATGTCAATAGTTTTATACATTAAAAAAGTACTTGTAACTGTACACCACCTATCGCTGTCCAAAATAAATTAAAAATCAAGAAAGTTTAACAGTTTACATAAGGCGTTTTAGCAGCAAAGACACAGTGTAACACCGTAAATCATTACATTCTTGTTATTTGTCAACACTGCACAAAGATGAAATAGTTCACTATGTTATACTACATCCTTGCTAAAAAGAACATCCAAAAACAGTTTTCTAACAGAGAGACAAAATAGCTGATAAGAGAAGAAAATAAAGATTAAGCAAATAAAAACTGTATAAAAAATGAAGGAAGGTGTGTCTACAATAAAAAAAATTCTAACTAAGAGATTTACTTTTGTTGATATGGATTCAAGACAAAAGACGCAAAGAGCAAGTTTGTGCAACCCTTTATCCAAGCACCATGACACAGTATATCAATCCCTGCTTGATGAAAGTAAAAGCTCTTATGTAATGCAATCCCTAATTCCTGGTAAGTCATTCCCTGTTCGTGAGATGCAAAGCTCAAGATTTGCATGGTCGATGATTTCATGTAACATATACTACCAAAACAGAATCCACAGTTCCATGCAGCTTCGATTATCCTGCTTCGCTGTACCAATGGAAAATGCATACGCCTGAACAGGGACTATCCACAATAAAAAAAACAAAGCATATATTTTAGAACAAAGTGTGTACTAAATGTTTCCACCTCTCCATCATTTTGTTAAGCACAAACAAAATTTCCTGAAATGAAACTTTTCTTGGATAGAAAAAAATGAACATTAAAACTCTGTGACTCACACTTAACTTATAAGCAAAGTGTTGAACAGATCGATTTTAGAAGAAATATGCACGACAATCAAAATTTTATGTTATTTTTAAATAGGACTCACATTAAGACACTTTTCGTATATCAAATACAATATCGTCCAGAATAGGATAAGGTATCCAACCAGCACATCGATGTCTCGTACCTTCGTGTCATTTGGGTAACGCGAGCCGATTGCTTGTTTATTCCATAAATTCGGGAGAAAAGGCAAAAATTTCGTTGGATCGAGCAAAGAGTACAGGCCGATGGCCCAGTTATTCGCAGCTTGTTCATACATATTCCTTATCGTCTGATCGTAGTGATACGACAAAGGAAAGACATTGTTCGCAATATAAAATTTAAAAATAACAGGACTGTAATGGTCCGATAAGACAACTTAAATTTATTTCTTAAACCTCCAGTTATATCACTTATATTTGGTTATGTCTTCTAGCTAAATCAGCTGATAAATCTATTGTTTGTGAATCTGACAGATATTCGCTAGAGGACGCGCGCTACGCGCACATGCTGTGCACGTATATTCACATTCTAAACTACAATTAAAGAGAAACCTGAGAGAGGCTATGCCGGTCTTTTTCCTGTTACCATTGAAATTGCTCGTACACTACCGCCAGTACATCCATTCCCGGTAAAAAATTTTCATGCATGAATATGTATAAATATGTATAAACATACATAACACGCATGAATATTCATAAACATATATATTAGGTGTTGGAATTAATTTGTAGCGTTTTTTAATGAAAGAATGTTATTTATTTCACATGAGCATTAAAAAATACATTAATGAAAGTACTTCCCATCACTTGTAAAACGCTATGAATTAATTCCAACACCTAATAATTATATATGAAATATATCCATATATGTTCATACATTCTTCTTTCTTTTGTAAAATTAGTATAATAGAAATAATAATAGTAATGTGAAAACATAAAAAATAATTAAAGGAAATAATTTTCACATTGTTTGTTTTAGAAAAAAACAAGTTTGTAAAAAAATTGCTCATACATAATAATGCACAATTTTATATACAATTATATAAATAATTTTTTTACATTTCTTCAAACTTGATTTTTTCTAAAATAAATAGTGCAAAAATTAATTATTACTTTTTAATTATTTTTAATGTTTCCACGTTACTATTATTATCTCTATTACACTAAAAAGTAATTTCACAAAAGAAAAAAAGATGTATGAACATGTATGGACATATTCATATATAATTATACATGTTTATGAATATTTATGTACGTTGTGTTTATGTACATTTGTACATATTTATACATGTTCATGCAGGAAAAATTTTTGACCGGATTTTCACTTTGGGAACTACGTAACTACATTTTCTGACACTATCGATAAAATCGTCGAAAGTAGACGTGATTCTGCTTTGTAATACATTCTCAGGACAAAAACATGTCGACTATCCAGTATCCATAGGAGGGATAGTTTAATGAGTCCTTGAATGAAAAAATTTTAATTTCGCATCTGCTACATATATAAATAAAAGTTGTTGAATTTTAATAAACGAAACTGAAACTTCAAACAAGTTAATTTAGTCAACTTTGTTTTATATACAATATTTATCTTATAATATCTTATAAAATTGCAAAGTTATGTATCTTTATGCAAATTTTCAACCAGTATTTATCAAATATAATTACTAGTATAAATCTCTATAATTACTGGCAATTATAGAGATACTTTTAATAAATTCATTTTTTCTAAACATATATTGTCAATTTAAAGTATAATTTAGCAAAAACGAGTTATAGAGGTCCTCCACCACCGCCAATTTTATCGGCGGTCTTCTTTTCTTTGTAAGTATACTAACCTATAAAACAAACTAATAAGTTTAGTAGCTCGTTTTTGCAGGTAAGTATTGTATATCTTTAATTTATTTTTTTATTTTTATGTCTAATTTTTTATTGTATTTCGCTAATGAAATTGCAATAACTTTTCAAATATTATTCTTTATTGTATTATCTAATTTAAATAAAAGGAGAGTTACTTAAAAATTGCTTTAAAATTTTATACAAATTTATTTTTGTTAAAATCTTTAGAGAATATATATAATTATTTTAGAAAAAATATATAATTATTTTATTTAAATGTTAAATAACTCTCCTTTTATATAAATTAAATAAAAGGAAAGTTACTTAAAAATTACTTAAATATTTTATACAAATTTATTTTTGCTAAGATCTTTAAAAAAAGTATATATAATTATTTTAGAGAATATTTATTATATTAGCCTTTTTATACAATTCAATATATTACAATTATAATAATTATTTACAATACAATATACATGTTCAAAATAAAATAAAAATGAAAATATAGAAGCATAATTAATAAATTTTAATAATATGGGATTATACGAAAATGTCGAAAATACGTATCATAACACAAATTTTTTTAAACAAATGTTTAATGAATCAAATATTAATAAAAGAAATACTAACAACAATTAGATCGTATTTATTATTAATTATTTACTATTAATTAAATATTTATTATTAATTTGCGAATATAAAACTTAATAATATCGCGATAAAAAGTCATTAATATATTTATAACAGCACTTTTATCGTTCAAGATAATTATCTCAATAATTTTATCATATCAAAATCCCTCCGCCTCGTGGTATGCTGATTAGTATCCGATACAAAGAAGAACAATCTTCATAGTGGAAAGCGAATTTATTCTGATTCTACACAAATTTTACAAGATTCATTTGCAAAGAATACCAGTGATCATATTACTGCGCTGTGAATCCCGAATCTTTCAGACTACTTAGTGATAGTAATAATTTTGTAGCATGTCAATTACAATTATTATTTTTATCACATCTTAATATAATATTAAAATTCGCGAGAAAATATGTTCTGCCACACGTGACTAAAAATATCTCTTATTAAAAATAAACGGATAGAATCATTTTCTTATGCAATAGTAGTTACGAAAGAATATGTTTAATAATAATAAAATACATGCGTTATTGTAATTTTTTATATGGGTACAAAAGTTTTTCAGGTATCAACTGTTCGAGATGAGTCGAACCTGATAATAACGGAATTTTAAAGAACATTTATACTAAAAAATTTATTATATAAAATTTAACAATTTATTTTTCAAAAATTATATTTATTAATCCCGCTAATATGAGTACCCATTCGACTTATCTTGAATTTTTTGTACTCACACATTTAAAATTCAACTCGTGTAATCACGATAACATTGTTAACTATAAAGAATTTTGAACAAAGTTACGTAAATATCGATAAAAATCAATATTCATTAAATATAACCTCATAATATCTATATGTATTTTATCATAGAAAAGTGCATATATTTTATCATAGAAAAGTGTATATACATATAAATTAAAAATTAAAAATATTCTGCAATGGCGGGATGTCCAATACCTAAAAATGATTCTAATAAAAGTTAGAAAATTAAATATATACATCCGTAATCATATTTTTGTTAGAGCAATCATCAAAAAATTATAAGCAAATTATTTATATAAAATTTAAATTTGTTTACTTAATTTGAATTTAAACAAATAATAATTATATATTCATATCGATCATATAATATTATAAATTCCTGTGTTATTAAAACAGTACTATTGCTAACATTATTATTACTAGTGAGAGAACATTTAATAAAACAAAGAAAACGAAAATTATATGCTAAAATATACTGAATTAAAATTACAACTTGACTTTAAAATAGAGCAATTATCATTGACTCATTAACAAAATTGTTATTACTAATAACTGCAGACGAAAAAACTTAGGATTAATTCCAATCCTGCATAAAAATCTCCGACGAGATACCAAACTAAACTTCGCGAATGAACTTCACGAAAAGCGACGAGGAATAATTCTTCATCATGAAAATAATTTCGACTTTCCATCGGTACAAACTACATAATCACTGGCATCCATCTGACGCGAGAGACAGCAGTATGAGGTTTTTGCATATAATAAATTGTTCACAAAAATATACTTGTAATTTTATAATGTTAAAAATGTAAATGTCGAAAAACAAGTAAGAATTAATATTTAATCATTGCTCCAATCTTTATGACTTATTTAATAAATTTGTACTAAATATGAAAAAAAAATGATTATTCTAAACATCAAATTTTTAATAAGAAGTTACCTAAAATTATTAATGACTTATTGATGTACAAAATAAAATCTAAATAAAAAAAAGTTTTAAATTTAAATATTTATGAAACTTATTAAATCAATAAACAATTTTTGTTATTATATGTTT